ATATAAAAATTTAATAAATATAAAAATTGGGCTTTAAAATTTTAGTACTGCATAATTTAAGTCTAAATTAAATGCAAAAATTTATTTGAAATATCAAAACATAGACCTATGAAATGCTTTTGTCAAAAGCAGTTCTAACTTCTAACTAACCTTAAAAAGTTTTAGACCTAAACTCTGCTTATTCCCCAATTCATTGTTGTAATGGTCATATTTCCTTACATCTATTAATAATAGATGGTCATATTTCCTTGCATCTATTAAGTCATATTTCCTTGCATCTATTAAGTCCTTTCTATCTTTCTTAATTTTATATTGTACACTCTTATTTTTTTTAGTGATTAAACATTTTTAATTTCTTACTTTTATATAATTTATAAGTTGGGTTCTCATGCTCACATTATTAATAAAATAATTTAATTTCATAGTGTTATTTTTATGTTAATAAACTAATTATTTCATTGTTATTAAATTATAATATTACATTTTGTAACAATTTTATTTCATGGCATTATGAACTTAAATTATTTTCTTGTTATTTTAAATTTCTCTATTAACTCTTATAATGTGAGTAAATGGAATAATTTAATTTTATAATATCATATTTACAGTTGAATGATCTTTTATATTATTTATGTTATAATTATATTATATTTACATGAGATAAAAAAAAAAAAAAAAACTCATGGAGCCCTCTTAGGGCCTGTTTGGTTAGAGCAAGATTACTTTATCAATTACTCTTTTCTTAATTAATTATTGCATAAATATAATCAATTATAGAGCCTATATAATTATTATAAAACTTTTCTAGGAAAGTTATAAGGATATGCATATCATTTCCTGAACCAAATACCGAAATTTAGAGGCCAATTTTGGCGTTTACTTGCCCCTCGTCATGCCACTTGCCCCGGAAAGGTTTTCTTCTTATAGTTTTGATCAAGGAAAAAATCTGATTCTTTTCTTCTATAAAACAAAGTTTACCGATAAACTTTAAAATTTAAAAACATCAAAAACCAAAAACTTTTACTTATAATTACCTTACTGATTATTTCTTGAGATTGTTGAAAATACCTAACACCCCCATAAATATTAGTTAAGTTTCTATTGTTGGCTATACCAATTATTTTCTTTTAAGATTTATCTTTGAGTCGAGAGTTAGGGTTGAATTATTGTTATACCTTAAATAATTAAATCACATTTTTT